AAATGAGTTAAATGAAATAATATGAGAGTTAATGTATAAAAATTATTCTTAATATTCATTTGGAGAAGATATTTTAGTCAATTTTTATGATATCTAGTTTTTTTTGATATAAATTTAATTTATATATAAATAATTTAAAATTAATTAAATTAATAAAAATTAGTTAAATTTAATTAATAAATTTATATAAAAAATTTATGGGATTAGCTATAAATTATAATTAAAATATTTAATAGAATAAAAGATTTAAAATAAAAAAATGTTTTTAATATTAAAAATTTTTATAAAAATTTAATAATTTATTATTATAAAATTGTTTAAATTTTAGAGTGTAATAATAATAATAATTTGTGAGAGTTTAATTTAATTAAATAAAAAAATATTTTAAATAAATTAATTATTTTAGGAAATAATGATAATATAAGTATAAATATAAATAATTAATTATATAAAAATTTTTAAATTAAAAATAAATGATATTTATAATTAAAGAACTAGGCAAATGTAGTTTATTTAAATAAAATTTTAATTCACCTGTTTAACAAAAACATGGTTTTTGATAATAATTTAAAATTATTTCTGCTCAGTGATTTTTAAATAGCCGCAGTATATTGACTGTGCAAAGGTAGCATAATCAATTGTTTTTTAAATGAAAACTGGAATGAAGGAATTGATGAAATTAGAACTGTTTCAATTTATAAATTTAAAATTTAAATTTTAAGTTAAAATTCTTAAGAGAAATTATGGGACGAGAAGACCCTATTGAATTTAATATAATTTTTGAATCTATTTAAGGTAAGATAAATTTTATTTTATAAGTTATATTTTATTGGGAGGATAATTAAATAAAATGAACTTTAATTTTAATATAATTTAACATTTAACATTGATTAATGAAATTTTAATAAAAGATTAATTATTAAATTAAAAAATATTTTTTTATTTTTTATAATAGTTATTATAAAAATTAATTACAAAAATTAATTACAAAATATTTTTAAAAAATTACAATTAATATTAAAATGAATTGCCGAAAGATAGCCGAGTCGAATGTATTAGAAATGAATGCAATAAACGAGAGAAAAGCCGGGTCGAAAAAAATTTGACTGTTTTGCAAGCAACGGTAATTAGAAGAGAAAACCGAAAAAGACAAGCGATCTTTTTCGGAAAGTAAAAGCACACTCTATTCGCGACGAGCAATCGGAAAGAGCGCCGCGGTCACGAGAGAGGAGGTTTATATAGTCCCGGATTTCGAGAACCTTCGCGAACATTTTCCTTGTTCGATCGAGATGTAAGGGCGAAAGTACGTTTACGATAATTATTTACCTTTTAGCAAGTCATATTTTGTTGTTATTGGCACTTGATTTTATCTCCTCTCGCGCGACCGCGGTTTTTACGATTAAAGTGAAAGTTAACGTAAGCGCTTCTTTTTTCGCAGGCGCGAGGTATATGTATACTTGTGCGGCCGAGCGCGATTTAAATAATATTAAAGTCTTGTTACAATTTAAGGTTTTATATACGTAATGCTAGTTATTGCATGCTGCATGTTTATATTGCATGAATTTGAATGTAATACATTAATGCCCTTCCTTTCAGCTTTCTTTATCCGTTCGATTTCAAACATTCCGCCCGCCTTGCAGTATACCTGCAATCCACTGAGTAGTGCGATAGAGGGGGCGCGCGCTTGTTCACGCGCTCGCTGGTTCCGGACACGAGGAGTTCACGTGCTCCGGCTTAGGTCGCGAAAGGAATGCTGAATCGGTCAGCTGTTGATTTCTTGCGTAGCAGTATAGACGCGTGTCGGCTCTTGTGTCGCGAAGACCGAGCAATTTAGATAAATGAGTCTACTGTAATTTAGGATGAGGCGACTATTTTGGTGGTGAGAATGGTGTCGTAATGAACAGAAGGTAGTGATGTGATAGTATGTTGGTGAAGTGAAAGTGGGCGTGCAATTGATGAGAGATGAGCGATGAAGATCTGTGGAAAAGAAGAACAGAATTATATGAGCCGCTTTACGCCGGATTATCGTAAAGTTTCGTGGTCGCCGCCCAGGAACACAAGTTTACTGACGGGGCGCGTTAAACTCGTACTCGCGGTACGTATATCGACGACGCGCACGTGGCCGTCGGATCCGGGATGCAGCCGAGTGATGCGCGCGAGCGGCCACCGCGTTGGTGGGGTGGTTTCGCTGCGGAGTAGACACAGACGCCCGACGTGAGCCTCCTGGTTGACTTGGGACCATTTTGGCCGATGGGCCAGCGTATGTAAGTATTCGCTGGACCACCGAGACCAGAAATGGTCCCTCATCTGTTGCAGGAGCTGCCAGCGTGATAGTCGGGTCGACGGCTCTCGTTCGAGCGACGGCTCCGGTACTGCGGAGAGAGCGGAACCGATCAAGAAGTGCCCCGGTGTGAGAGCTGCGACGTCCTCAGGATCATCGGACAAGGACTGCAGCGGTCGTGAATTGAGGCAAGCCTCTATCTGCGAGAGGAGCGTAGCCAGCTCCTCGTAGGTGAGGGTCGCATCACCGATGACTCGTCGCAGATGGTGCTTCATCGATTTAACCGCGGCTTCCCACAAGCCGCCGAAGTTCGGTGCCGCCGGTGGGTTGAAATGCCACTGGATCTTCTCCTGTGCGGCGAATGAGGCGATGCGGCGTCCGTCGGCACTGGCGGCGGAGAAGAGAGAGTTTAGCTGCCTGTCCGCACCCACGAAGTTGGTACCGCAGTCGCTGTATAAGCTGATGCAGACCCCTCGCCTTGAGATGAGCCGGCGCAAGGCTGCGATAAAGGCGTCGGCGGAGTAGTCCGAGGCTACGTCGAGGTGAACGGCTCGGGAGGCTAAACATACAAAAACCACAATGAACCCTTTAGTAGCTTTGTGTCCGCGGCCCTTCGAGGTCCTCAGCCAAACCGGACCGGCGTAGTCGACGCCGGTGTGCAGAAATGGCCTGCTTGGTGTGACCCTTGGCCCCGGGAGATCGCCCATGAGAGGCTGTGGGATGGCGGCTCGCCATCTTGTGCACCTTACACATCGGCTGATGTGTTTCTTCACCAACGACCGACCTCGAGGGACCCAATACTCCCGGCGCAGGGAGCACAAGGTCATCTGAGTACCGCCGTGTAAAGTTCGCTGGTGGTGATCATCTACGACGAGGAGAGTGAAAGCCGACTCGCTGGGCAGTATTGGCGGGTGAGTTGCGTCGTACGGTAGGTTTGCGTGTCTGAGGCGCCCGCCGACTCGTAGAAGTCCCTCGCTGTCCAGGAATGGGTTCAGTTTCTGTAGGGAGCTTCGCGACGGCAGAGCCGCTCCATTTTGCAGCTTTCTAATGTCTTCTGTAAAGGTTTTAGATTGGATCAACCTTACCCAGGAGATGCGGGTCTCCGTCAGTTCGTCGGAGCTGATCACGCTAGGCTGGCCTTGCGCATGGCGGTGCTGGCGGTGAATCAGCAACCAGCGGCGGCACCAAGCCGAGATCCGTAGCAGTCGCTTCAGCGAGGAGTAGCGCAGCAGTAACTCCGATTCGGGCTTCAGCTCGGTAACGGCGGCGATGTGGGTCCGGACTCGTCTCTCTGGGAGGTCCTCCGCTGGCATCGCCTCGCTATTCGTCGTCCAAGTACCGCTCTCCTCTGTCAGCCATGCGGGACCTTGCCACCAGAGCGGGTGGTCAACCAGTTCGCTAGGGTAGAGTCCCCGGGAAGCACAGTCTGCTGGGTTCTCCCGACCTGGTACGTGATGCCAGTGGGCGTCCGGGATCAGCATCTGGATCTCGCTGACTCGATTAGCTACATAGGTGGCCCACATCGAGGGATGCCCACGGATCCAACCAAGCGTGACGGTGGAATCAGACCACATGTGAAGAGGTGCCTTGGCTGCTCCGATGATCGGTACGGTGTGGGCGACTAGACGAGCCAGAAGAGTGGCGGCCGACAGCTCCAACCGAGGTAGTGATACTTGCTTCAAGGGCGCGACCTTAGTTTTTGCAGCTAAGAGTGCCACCTTAATAAGACCCTTTGTTTCTGTCCTCAGGTATAGCACCGCTGAGTAGGCACGCTCTGAGGCATCGGCGAACCCGTGGATTTCCAGCTGTGAATCAGTCAAACCTCCCAGCCATCGAGGTACGAGCACGTTTTCCAAAGCAGGCAGCTCGTTCTGGAATCGCAGCCATCTTCTCTCGTCGTCGCTGGGTAGCGGAGCGTCCCAATCAAGACCTAGCAACCAGGTGGACTGGATGAAGATCTTGGCTAATACCGTTGTTGGGGCCAGCCAGCCGAGAGGGTCGAACATTTTCGCCGTCAAAGATAATACCGACCTTTTGGTGAAGGTCGACAGCGTGGTCAGTTTGGTTGCGAAAGCGAAGCGATCGTCACGTGGTTGCCAGCGTAAACCGAGAGTGGAGTGACTCTCGCCGGGCAGCCACCATCTGGCCTCTCGTCGAAGACGGTCGTCGGGCTCCACTGCGTTCAGCAGGAGCGAGTGGTTTGCCGACCACTTTTTAAGTGAGAAGCCGCCCGCCCTGCAGATCTCAGTCAGCTGTTGCAGCATTACTTCGGCTTCCTCCATGGTCTCCGCACCGGCCAGGATGTCGTCCATGTAGACGTCGCTCAGCAGGATGAGGGCTCCTTTCGGGTAGCGATGTCCTTCGTCCTCGGCTAGTTGTCGTAAAGTGCGGATCGCTAGATAAGGAGCACAGGATAGACCGTAAGTAACGGTACTTAGCCAGTACTCCTTGATTTCGTCCTTGGCGTTCCCTCTCCACAATATCCTTTGCAGGTTTTGATCGTCGGGGTGCACCAGTATCTGCCTATACATCTTTTCGATGTCAGTCGCGAAGACGTAGCGATGACGTCGCCAGCGCAGCAGGATGTCGGCTAGCGAAGGCAGTAGATTCGGACCAGTTGCTAAATATCTATTGAGGGAGTCTCCGTTCGGCAAGGAGCTCGAGCCGTTGAAGACGACCCTCAGTTTGGTTGATGAGCTGTCCGGACGCAATACCCGTGATGAGGCAGGTAGCAAGCCCCCGGATGCGATTCAGTTGACGACGGAGCAGGCCTCATGTGTCGCAGGTTCAAATATTGCCGCATGAATTCCACGTACATACCTTGAAATTCGCTGTCTCTCTCAAACTTTTTCTCTGTGTGTTGCAGCGCTCGGCGGGCAGCGCGGATTGTTCCTGAGAGGTCCGGCAGAGAGTCAATAGTGGGCAGGCGCACGATATACCGGCCGTCTGGAGAGCGAGTATGATGTCGGCGATAGTGCTCTTCGCACTCCAGTTCGGCCTTGGTGAGGATCGGAGATGGCCTACGAACTTCCTCCTGCTCCCAGAACCGCCGAACCAAGCAGGTGATGTCCTCCTCGATTTGGCAATGGTGAGTTGCAACACGATGGCCGCGTGCATTCTCATTGATGGTGCCTGAGAGTATCCATCCTAGTGAGGTCTGCTGTGCCACTGGTTCCTGATGACTCCCCTTTTTTAGGCCCTCGCGGATGATTACTCCGTAGACGTCGGCGCCCAGCAGAAGATCTACTGGATCCGCGGAACGGAATTCTGGATCGGCGAGCTCCAGGTCCTTAAGATGGGTCCAGGACTGCAGACTTTGGCGGCATCCTCCGGCGAAGAGAGTGAGCTTCGGCAGGATCAAGGCGGCGACGGAGTTGGACTGGTCGCCGTTGTGCGCTCTAAAAGTAAGCTGAACCTTACCCTTTGCAACTCCCGTTTTTTTCTCGCCGAGTCCATAAACGCTGACGGCGGCGGGCATGCGAGGCAGTCGCAGTCGCTGAACCAATCGCTCCGATATGATGGAAGACTCTGAGCCCTGGTCGATCAGCGCTCGGGCGGAATGCCAGGATCCGTGGCCATCGAGGACGCGGACGCGAGCTGTGGCGAGCAACACCGTGACAGAGGCCGGATGAGATCCTTGCGCTAAGTGTGACGTTGTGGCGGTCTTGGCGTTGCAGAAGGCGTCGTGCAGCGAGGAGTGATGCCGACTGCCGCACGTCGTGCAAGTCTTTTTTGATGAGCATTCCGAAAGCTGGTGTCGACCCAGGCAGTTTGAGCAGAGATTTTGATCGTTGACAAACTGCCTGCGGGCCGTAGCCGTCTTCTCCTTGAATTTGCCACAAAACATTATGAAGTGGTCGCCCTGGCAATCGGCGCACCGACTTCTGGATCTATCCTTCGTTTCAGCTTTCTTCACGTGATGGCTCCGAGTTGTTTTTGCACTGCTAAGGTTGCGGCTGTCGTTCTTGGCTGGAAACAGTGCCTCCAAAGTATGAAGCCGTCGCTCGATGAAGGCTTCCAGCTCGGCGTAAGTAGGCGGGTTGGTCGTGTGACTGATGACGCTCTCCCATTCCCGACGAGAACGATTGTCGAGGAGCTCGACGACCAGATGCACAAAGAGGTCCTCCGTGCGATCGATGGGACGATCGATACTCTTCAGCGAGCTGACTGTGGTTTTTACGCCGTGAAAGAGTCGCCCCAGTTCCACTGCGGATTCGCTCTTCATCTTAGGAAGCGCCAGGAAGTTGTTGAGGTAGTTTCGGGTTAACAGCCTTGCGTTCTCGTAAAAATCGCTTAGCGTCTTCCAAGCGATTTCGTAGTTTTCCTCCGTAGTGTTCAGGTTGCGTATCAGTAACTCCGCATCACCCTTGACACAGAGTTTGAGATAATGTAATTTCTCAACAGGTCTGGCTGCCTGGTTCCTGCCAATGATGGACTGGAAGAGGTCTCGGAACGAAGGCCAGTCTTCGTACTTCCCGGTGAAGGTCGGCGGTTGAATCTTAGGCAATGCGGTCCGAGGAGCGGCGGCCGGTGTCGCTGCCGAACTTGGTCTGGATGTATGCTCTTGTCGTTGGAGAGCGCTCTTCAGATCGAGCATGAGGCCCTTGTTCTGCAGGTAAGCCTCCTCGCCCAACGAAGGGATATCTTGTTTGGCGTACACCTCATGCCGTATTTCGTCCACACGATCGGCTAAAGTATCGTTAATTGTGTCAAATTTCTCCCACAGCTTCTCGAGGTTTTGAAGCCGGGCCTCCACCGCGCCGAGGGTGATATTGGCCTCGCCGAGCTTCCGAAGGTTCTCGTACGCGCGCGAGATTTTGCCGTATAGCACTGTGGCTGTGGCAATGATTGCCTTAGTGTCTGTCATGTCTAAAACTGTTTCTCTTTTCTAGGAGCACTGGTCACCGACACTGATTCACTATCGCTTCCGTGGCACCGGATTCAAGGGAGGTTCCTGAGGAATCCGGCTCGAAGGACCAAAAATGTGCGCGACGGAAAGCAGGATAGGAAGGTCGGAAGCGAGACGATAGATAGGCACAGCACTCGACACACGCGTATCGTTCACAAAAATATATATTTCAACTATTAACAAGAAATACAATTGTTTAACCGCACAGAATTTACCAAAAGATAGCCGAGTCGAACGTATTAGAAATGAATGCAATAAACGAGAGAAAAGCCGGGTCGAAAATAAATTACTGAATGTCCGCAAGCAACGGTAATTAAACGTGAAAACGAAAAAGACAAGCGATCTTTTTCGTAAAGTATAAGCACACTCTTGACGCGACAAGCAATCGGAAAGAGCGCCGGGGTTACGAGAGAGGAGGTTTATATAGGCCTTATTTTCTGGAATATTCGAGAACATTTTTATTACTCTATCTGTAGGTTGAGGGCGAAAGAACATTCGCTGTAATTATTTACGTTCCCGCAATTCGTAGTTTTGTTGTTATTGGGAACTAAATGTATCTCCTCTCGCGCGACCGCGGTGTTTACAATTATATGTGATTTGACGTAAGCGCTTCCTTTTCGCAGGCGCGGGGTACCCGTAAACCTGTGCGGCCGAGCGCTATTTGAAATAATATTAATATAAAATTAAGCATGATGCATGTTGCATGTGAATGAAAAGACTGCATGAATTTTAATGTAATAATGTTTTGACTTTTCAGCTTTCGTTAGACGTTCGATTTTCGAACAGATATTATGCTTAATTTGAAAAGAATATTAATAAAAAATACCTTGTAATTAAAAAAAAATAATGTTTAATATTCACTTTCGATAATATTTAGATGATTTTCTGATGAAATATAGAATTTCGATCATAAAAAATATCTCGTAAACCATTTATTTTTGCCTATTTTTTAACAATATTTTATGTCAAAAGTATTGCGAGGAATCTATATTATATAAGAAAATTATGAAATTTAGAAAAATAATGTATGATTTCTCGAAATCTCAAAAATGTCTCCCACAGAAAAATTATTATTAGTAGTTTATTATGACTCTATTGAGATACAATTTTCTTAATTACAATATTTTATATCTCTAAAAATAAGATAAAAGGAGATATTTCAGGTAGACGGAGTTACTGCTCCGTGTATATATAAATATACATGTATATAATAGATATGTATAGATATATACATGTACTCTACGATACATATCGAGTCTTTCTAGAAAAACTATATGATGTAATATAACTTGATCTCTGTGTTTATAATTGTGATCTAGTGTATGAAATAATTTTAATTATTCAACATACATACTTTAACGATCGCAATTTGTCTTCAATTATCTCCAACATGTATTACAGACAAAAAAGTAAAGTTAATCTCTTTAATCTCTTAATACAATGTGAAACAATTATTTCTTCTCAAACGCCATTTACAAAGTAATATATTTCATTTAGCTCGACATTCGCTAATGAAGAAAGCGTATACGTAATCAAAGCGAAATTTATATTTTGGGGCTATTTGGCGAGCGAATCGACGCCCTCAATTTGCCGTCATTATCGGTAAATAATTAAACGTTTGCACACTGCGAGGGTTGACGCATAGCGCGACCGCGCGGCTGGCAGGCATATTTTCGTTCGTTGGCTGGTAGTCGCGTTGGTCATAAAGGAAGGACAGAGAGTGCGCACCCCATTAATCTCCTTCTCCCTCCCTCTCTCTTTGTCCCTTATCAGATTGTGTGCGCTCGCCGCGAATTCAATTCGAGAAGACGGCCGCGATACGCATCGCGACGTATATCGGATACGAGGTCGTTTCGCCGGGGCTGATCGCGCGAAGGCGTAACCCACCGCGGAGGCAAACATGTGCGCGAAAAATGAATTAAAAAAAAAATTAAAAAAAAAAAAAAGTCCCGCCTCGCGCGATGACGTACAGGCCTTCGCGGCTGGGGTTATAAATAACGTCTCGCGTGACGGGCCCGTACCTTGGCTAGCGGGACCATTCATCAGCCGCGCCTCGCACGTGAACGCTCTGATAACGACTCGACTCGGCGTGGCGCGATCGTTTTACCTGAAAGACACGCCGATCGACGAATATCCGTCCGTCTCGCCACGCGACGCGATTCCTGCGCGCGATCCTTCAACGCCCGGGTCATTTGGCGCGACTTTACTGATAGCGCGCGCGAAAGAGAGAGACTAGGTAAATCAGGTTCGCCGCGTTCGCTAAGATAGCGATGGGAATGCGTTTCCGTTACATCCCCGGCGGAATGAATGATGACGATCACTCCCCGAAGATTTTGCTCTCGACTACATTTTTCTATCGTTACATCATCGTGATTCTTTCCTTTGATCATGATCGACTCGCGCTCTTTCTCTCTTTTTCTCTCTGACGGGATTCCTTCCAAGGATGACTTCGGTTCGAGCTTTCTTTCTTTTTCTTTTAATCTTGATTTAAAAATTGCGAATAATTTTCTTGAAGTGAATATATATGATTTTAATTTTTTTATTCGGTTTTTTCCTCAATTGTCTGTTATCCGATATATTACAATGCACGATAGAATGTATCTGAAGTTTTGAATTTATCTTTTATATTGTAATCTTTATTCATTCGTGTTGTGTATCTATATCTAGAAAAGTGTTTTAATTAAATTTTTTATTTAAAAATATTGATCTGCAGCGCGTTCATTATATTTGTATAAAAAGTGCAAGTATAAAAAAATTAGACTGTGTTTGATTTACGAACATTGATAAGAAAGAGCATATAATATTATACATAAGTAACGTTTCAAAATATTAAAAGAAAAAAAATATAGGAATAGAAATTTTTAATAATATCGCATCGAGATAAGCAATGATTTATAGATTGTCATGAAAATTTATTGTTTTTTATGTAAAAAATACAAATTATATTAGATGGACCAAGTTATTATGAAAGACATTGTTTCTGATAGTATTACTATCGAAATGTATAGCGACGCACGTAACTCGATTTCGTATCTGAAGCTAATCAGGGCTTTTAGACTTCGTAGTCGTGTCTGATCAATTCTGTCGGGTCGCATACAATACGATACACATACAGAAACATACGAAACTACCAATTTACTTTAGCTAATCTGAGATAATTAAGGATCACATCCTAAATGTGCTTTCAATCACAGATCCGATTAAATTTGTCGAATCGTATAAAAAGTTAATGACTCTTGCCAAAAATACAAGACGCGCTAAATTTGACATCCACATTTAGATTAGGAAAAAGCTAAAAAAAAGAATAATATCTACTTAGGTATAGATGTTTGGAATATTTAATTTTTTTTAATAAATCAGAGATTGTAATAAATAATTAGCTACATATAAGGTATTTTAAACATAAAAGTATGTTCATACATATACATATCTATAAATAAGCATGCGCGCGCGCTTTTTATCTAGAAATCCATTTTAATTAATTTGAAACTTCTATGTGACAGTTTTAAATATTTTTGTAAAAAATTTTAAAATAATACATATAAATCTATTCACAAATATCAAACGTCATATATTAAAAACAAAAAATTTCATTTACGTTTTTTCGAGAATTAATTGAAAAAATATTAATTGATAAATTTCGAACAAAATAAACTCGAAAAAAATGTATAATATTTGAGAATTTGTTGCAAAGATATTTAAATGCAAAAGTATAACTAGAACTTTTTAAAATATTTCTGCCAAAGAAAAAGCAATTTCAAAATTAGTTCGTGGAATGCGTATAGATGGTTTGTTAAATATGAAAAATTATTCAAAATTTATATTAAATTTTTTTGCGACAGTCTTTACATTAATTTTCTTCTAATATCCATACGAAAACGCTTTAACGGCAATAACATGCTTCTCGAGGTCCTTAACGCTCTTGAAAATTATTCTAGCAGGGCGTGAGTAATCGGACGCAGTAACGAAGTCGTTACTCCCTCGAAACGCCGCTCAGCCGTCGTAATCGGCTGATTCATTCGCTGCGGGAGCGCCCGCTAATTTCGCACCGTACCACAACGCGGCTGCGACGATTATACCCTTTAAGTTCGAGATTAAAAATTCGAGGGAAAAAGATATAAAATTCTCTCTGGCGCGCAAAACTCTATATACCGCGCAGATAAATTCGAGCGATAGTTGTTTATGTCGGCGTATGTGTGTATGTACATATACAGGGTATTTCAGAACTGGCGAAAAAGTTTTTAATGTCAGATTTCTGGTATCATTTGGAGACGATTTTTGCTTAGTGAGAATGTTGAGGGAAACCATCATTTTTAGCATTTTCCCAATTTTTGCTATTACGTATCTTTATAACCAAGCCTGATATTAAAAATCTATTAAAGCAAACTCTACCTAAAATTAATTGAAGAATGTAGTTCTGTTAATATATTTTTTCCACAAGCCTTAATTTCTAAAAAAAGCCTGCATTTTCAACTGCTTATAATTCAAAAATTATTGGTATCTGGACGTTTTCGTTGAGGAAAAATCGTCTCCGAACGATACCAGGAATCTGTCATTAAAACTTTTTCGCCAGTTTTGAAACACCTTGTATATATACGTGGGCGTCGGACCAAGTTAAGGGCTCGACTTGGTATGTGCTCACACGACATCGGATAACGCCGTATATACATGTACGTAGAAGGTGATGTATAAACGCTTGTCTCTAACTCAGGTAAGCTCAGAGGCGACCTCCTTTTTTCACGAAACATGACTGTAACACGCTAAGATTTCCGATATTTCGTTGAAATTGACGCTGATAACGTGTACCCTCGATGGACGTGGCGCGCAGGACCGTTCTCGTTTGCTTATTCACGTGTTGTCTTATCGGCGCGCGGTTGCACCAATGGCTTTTCGCGTGAAATTGAAAACACCAGCGGGAGCGGAAAAATACGTCACGCGCCGCGATAAACGATTCCGCACTCGGGGGATGTTTATACTCGCGTATTTTGCCTCGGCTCCCTCGACGTTGCGCGAGACCGATTTCCCGGGATGAATTTTAAGCGAAGCATTTTACGCATTAACCGTATTCACGACATTTTAGAATA